ATGGTGGTGGAGAAGGGAGAGGATGGTGGTGGAGAAGGGAGAGGATGGTGGTGGAGAAGAGAGAGGATGGTGGTGGAGAAGGGAGAGGATGGTGGTGGAGAAGGGAGAGGATGGTGGTGGAGAAGGGAGAGGATGGTGGTGGAGAAGGGAGAGGGTGGTGGTGGAGAAGGGAGAGGGTGGTGGTGGAGAAGGGAGAGGGTTGTTTGGGGGAAGGGAGGTGCCGGTACTGGGGAATGAGAGGGTGGTAGTGCGATAGGGGAAGGATGGTCGAGAGAAAGGAAGATGATGTTTGTTCTAAACAAGCACCTCGTTTTCCTTGTTTTTCTGGTGACCTAACGGCTAAAGGTGAAACTTCATTTGATGTGTAGCATTAAGGCTGAGATCTTACAGGCGCCCGAGAGATCCGTTTTATAATTAGGGGTGAAGCTGCCCGTGTCGTAATGAGGCTAGGTCACACTGCTTCACTTACTTCACTTCGTAATAAACTTAAAAGTGTATTCAGTCTCCTCCAACTACAACCGAGACCGGACTCTATCTCTCTGCATGGAGAGATTCTGCTGGCCCGGAATGGGTAAAGACGTGGATCAGTGGATAGAAACTGTTACAGATGCTTCAGTAGAGCACCGATGGAAGACAGAGCTCCTCTTCTCTGAGGATGCTGGTGGGGAAGGGGGGGATGCTGGTGGGGAAGTGGGAGGGATGCTGGTGGGGAAGGGGGGATGCTGGTGGGGAAGGGAGGGATGCTGGTGGGGAAGGGGGAGGATGATGGTGGGGAAGGGGGAGGATGATGGTGGGGAAGGGAGGGATGCTGGTTGGGAAGGGGGGATGCTGGTGGGGAAGGGGGAGGATGATGGTGGGGAAGGGGGAGGATGATGATGAGGAAGGGAGGGATGCTGGTTGGGAAGGGGGGATGCTGGTGAGGAAGGGGGAGGATGATGGTGGGGAAGGGAGGGATGCTGGTGGCGAAGGGGGAGGATGATGGTGGGGAAGGGGGGACGGTGTTGGAGAAGTGGGAGGATGGTGGTGGGAAGGGGGAGGATGATAGTGGGAAGGGGGAGGATGGTAGTGGGCAAGGGAGAGGATGGTGGTAGTGGGGAAGGGAGAGGATAGTGGTGGGGAAGGGAGAGGATGTGGTAGTGGGGAAGGAAGAGGGTGGTGGTGGGCAAGGGAGAGGATGGTGGTAGTGGGGAAGGGAGAGGATAGTGGTGGGGAAGGGAGAGGATGTGGTAGTTGGAAAGGGAGAGGATGGTAGTGGGGAAGGTAGAGGATGTGGTAGTGGGAAAGGGAGAGGATGGTAGTGGGGAAGGGAGAGGATGTGGTGGGCAAGAGAGAGGATGGTGGTAGTGGGGAAGGGAGAGGATAGTGGTGGGGAAGGGAGAGAATGTGGTAGTGGGAAAGGGAGAGGATGGTAGTGGGAAAGGGAGAGGATGTGGTAGTGGGAAAGGGAGAGGATGGTAGTGGGAAAGGGAGAGGATGTGGTAGTGGGAAAGGGAGAGGATGGTAGTGGGGAAGGGAGAGGATGGTGGTGGGCAAGGGAGAGGATGGTGGTAGTGGGAAAGGAAGAGGCTGGTAGTGGGGAAGGGAGAGGATGGTAGTGGGGAAGGGGGAGGATAGTGGTGGGGAAGGGAGAGGATGTGGTAGTGGGAAAGGGAGAGGGTGGTAGTGGGGAAGGGAGAGGATGGTAGTGGGGAAGGGAGAGGATGGTAGTGGGGAAGGGAGAGGATAGGGGTTGGGAAGGGAGAGGATGTGGTAGTGGGAAAGGGAGAGGATGGTAGTGGGGAAGGGAGAGGATGTGGTAGTGGGAAAGGGAGAGGATGGTAGTGGGGAAGGGAGAGGATGTGGTAGTGGGAAAGGGAGAGGATGGTAGTGGGGAAGGGAGAGGGTGGTGGTGGGGAAGGGAGAGGATGGTGGTAGTGGGAAAGGGAGAGGATGGTAGTGGGGAAGGGAAAGGATGGTGTGGTTAAAGGAGACGTTGGCGGGGAAGGGACCTGATGTTGGTAGTGGGAAAGGGAGAGGATGGTGGTAGTGGGAAAGGGAGAGGATGTTGGTAGTTGGGAAGGGAAAAGATGGTAGTGGGGAAGGGACAGTGTGGTAGTATTTGGGAAGGAAGAACATGGTTGTCGGGAAGTGACAGGATGTTGGTAGTGGGGAGGAAAGAGGATGGTGATGGGGAAGAGAGAGAAAGGTGGTGGGGAAGAGAGAGGGTGGTGTTGGTGGTAAAGGGAGAAAATGGTAGTGGGGAAAGAAGATATTGGTGGGGAAAGGACAGAATTGAGGTAGTGGGAAAGGGAAAGGATGGTGGTGTTGGAGAAGGGAGAGTGTAGTGTTGGGGAAGGGACGGGCTGTTAGTAGTGGGAAAAGGGGAGGATGGTGGTGGGGAAGGGAGAGGATGGTGGTAGTGGGAAAGGGAGAGGATGGTAGTGGGAAAGGGAGAGGATGGTAGTGGGGAAGGGAGAGGATGGTGGTGGAGAAGGGAGAGGATGGTGGTGGAGAGAGGATGGTGGTGGAGAAGGGAGAGGATGGTGGTGGTGGAGAAGGGAGAGGATGGTGGTGGAGAGAGGATGGTGGTGGAGAAGGGAGAGGATGGTGGTGGTGGAGAAGGGAGAGGATGGTGGTGGAGAAGGGAGAGGATGGTGTTTGAGAAGGGAGAGGGTGGTGGTGGAGAAGGGAGAGGATGGTGGTGGAGTAGGGAGAGGATGGTGGTGGAGGAGAAGGGAGAGGATGGTGGTGGAGAAGGGAGAGGGTGGTGGTGGAGAAGAGAGAGGGTGGTGGTGGAGAAGGGAGAGGATGGTGGTGGAGAAGGGAGAGGATGGTGTTTGAGAAGGGAGAGGATGGTGGTGGAGAAGGGAGAGGGTGGTGGTGGAGAACGGAGAGGGTGGTGGTGGAGAAGGGAGAGGGTGGTGGTGGAGAAGGGAGAGGTCGGTGGTGGAGAAGGGAGAGGATGGTGGTGGAGAAGGGAGAGGATGGTGGTGGTGGAGAAGGGAGAGGTCGGTGGAGGAGAAGGGAGAGGACGGTGGTGGAGAAGGGGGAGGATGGTGGTGGGGAAGGGAGAGGATGGTGGTGGTGGAGAAGGGAGAGGATGGTGGTGGAGAAGGGAGAGGATGGTGTTTGAGAAGGGAGAGGGTGGTGGTGGAGAAGGGAGAGGGTGGTGGTGGAGAAGGGAGAGGATGGTGGTGGAGAAGGGAGAGGATGGTGTTTGAGAAGGGAGAGGATGGTGGTGGAGAAGGGAGAGGGTGGTGTTGGAGAATGGAGAGGGTGGTGGTGGAGAAGGGAGAGGGTGGTGGTGGAGAAGGGAGAGGGTGGTGGTGGAGAAGGGAGAGGATGGTGGTGGAGAAGGGAGAGGATGGTGTTTGAGAAGGGAGAGGATGGTGGTGGAGGAGAAGGGAGAGGATGGTGGTGGAGAAGGGAGAGGGTGGTGGTGGAGAAGGGAGAGGGTGGTGGTGGAGAAGGGAGAGGATGGTGGTGGAGAAGGGAGAGGATGGTGTTTGAGAAGGGAGAGGATGGTGGTGGAGGAGAAGGGAGAGGATGGTGGTGGAGAAGGGAGAGGGTGGTGGTGGAGAAGGGAGAGGGTGGTGGTGGAGAGAGGATGGTGGTGGAGAAGGGAGAGGATGGTGGTGGAGAAGGGAGAGGGTGGTGGAGGAGAAGGGAGAGGATGGTGGTGGAGAAGGGAGAGGGTGGTGGTGGAGAAGGGAGAGGGTGGTGGTGGAGAAGGGAGAGGATGGTGGTGGAGAAGGGAGAGGATGGTGGTGGAGAAGGGAGAGGGTGGTGGTGGAGAAGGGAGAGGATGGTGGTGGAGAAGGGAGAGGATGGTGGTGGAGAAGGGAGAGGGTGGTGGTGGAGAAGGGAGAGGATGGTGTTTGAGAAGGGAGAGGATGGTGGTGGAGAAGGGAGAGGGTGATGTTGGAGAATGGAGAGGATGGTGGTGGAGAAGGGAGAGGATGGTGGTGGAGAAGGGAGAGGATGGTGGTGGAGAAGGGAGAGGATGGTGTTTGAAAAGGGAGAGGATGGTGGTGGAGAGAGGATGGTGGTGGAGAAGGGAGAGGATGGTGGTGGTGGAGAAGGGAGAGGGTGGTGGTGGAGAAGAGAGAGGATGGTGGTGGAGAAGGGAGAGGATGGTGGTGGAGAAGGGAGAGGATGGTGGTGGAGAAGAGAGAGGATGGTGGTGGAGAAGGGAGAGGATGGTGGTGGAGAAGGGAGAGGATGGTGGTGGAGAAGGGAGAGGGTGGTGGTGGAGAAGGGAGAGGGTGGTGGTGGAGAAGGGAGAGGGTTGTTTGGGGGAAGGGAGGTGCCGGTACTGGGGAATGAGAGGGTGGTAGTGCGATAGGGGAAGGATGGTCGAGAGAAAGGAAGATGATGTTTGTTCTAAACAAGCACCTCGTTTTCCTTGTTTTTCTGGTGACCTAACGGCTAAAGGTGAAACTTCATTTGATGTGTAGCATTAAGGCTGAGATCTTACAGGCGCCCGAGAGATCCGTTTTATAATTAGGGGTGAAGCTGCCCGTGTCGTAATGAGGCTAGGTCACACTGCTTCACTTACTTCACTTCGTAATAAACTTAAAAGTGTATTCAGTCTCCTCCAACTACAACCGAGACCGGACTCTATCTCTCTGCATGGAGAGATTCTGCTGGCCCGGAATGGGTAAAGACGTGGATCAGTGGATAGAAACTGTTACAGATGCTTCAGTAGAGCACCGATGGAAGACAGAGCTCCTCTTCTCTGAGGATGCTGGTGGGGAAGGGGGGGATGCTGGTGGGGAAGTGGGAGGGATGCTGGTGGGGAAGGGGGGATGCTGGTGGGGAAGGGAGGGATGCTGGTGGGGAAGGGGGAGGATGATGGTGGGGAAGGGGGAGGATGATGGTGGGGAAGGGAGGGATGCTGGTTGGGAAGGGGGGATGCTGGTGGGGAAGGGGGAGGATGATGGTGGGGAAGGGGGAGGATGATGATGAGGAAGGGAGGGATGCTGGTTGGGAAGGGGGGATGCTGGTGAGGAAGGGGGAGGATGATGGTGGGGAAGGGAGGGATGCTGGTGGCGAAGGGGGAGGATGATGGTGGGGAAGGGGGGACGGTGTTGGAGAAGTGGGAGGATGGTGGTGGGAAGGGGGAGGATGATAGTGGGAAGGGGGAGGATGGTAGTGGGCAAGGGAGAGGATGGTGGTAGTGGGGAAGGGAGAGGATAGTGGTGGGGAAGGGAGAGGATGTGGTAGTGGGGAAGGAAGAGGGTGGTGGTGGGCAAGGGAGAGGATGGTGGTAGTGGGGAAGGGAGAGGATAGTGGTGGGGAAGGGAGAGGATGTGGTAGTTGGAAAGGGAGAGGATGGTAGTGGGGAAGGTAGAGGATGTGGTAGTGGGAAAGGGAGAGGATGGTAGTGGGGAAGGGAGAGGATGTGGTGGGCAAGAGAGAGGATGGTGGTAGTGGGGAAGGGAGAGGATAGTGGTGGGGAAGGGAGAGAATGTGGTAGTGGGAAAGGGAGAGGATGGTAGTGGGAAAGGGAGAGGATGTGGTAGTGGGAAAGGGAGAGGATGGTAGTGGGAAAGGGAGAGGATGTGGTAGTGGGAAAGGGAGAGGATGGTAGTGGGGAAGGGAGAGGATGGTGGTGGGCAAGGGAGAGGATGGTGGTAGTGGGAAAGGAAGAGGCTGGTAGTGGGGAAGGGAGAGGATGGTAGTGGGGAAGGGGGAGGATAGTGGTGGGGAAGGGAGAGGATGTGGTAGTGGGAAAGGGAGAGGGTGGTAGTGGGGAAGGGAGAGGATGGTAGTGGGGAAGGGAGAGGATGGTAGTGGGGAAGGGAGAGGATAGGGGTTGGGAAGGGAGAGGATGTGGTAGTGGGAAAGGGAGAGGATGGTAGTGGGGAAGGGAGAGGATGTGGTAGTGGGAAAGGGAGAGGATGGTAGTGGGGAAGGGAGAGGATGTGGTAGTGGGAAAGGGAGAGGATGGTAGTGGGGAAGGGAGAGGGTGGTGGTGGGGAAGGGAGAGGATGGTGGTAGTGGGAAAGGGAGAGGATGGTAGTGGGGAAGGGAAAGGATGGTGTGGTTAAAGGAGACGTTGGCGGGGAAGGGACCTGATGTTGGTAGTGGGAAAGGGAGAGGATGGTGGTAGTGGGAAAGGGAGAGGATGTTGGTAGTTGGGAAGGGAAAAGATGGTAGTGGGGAAGGGACAGTGTGGTAGTATTTGGGAAGGAAGAACATGGTTGTCGGGAAGTGACAGGATGTTGGTAGTGGGGAGGAAAGAGGATGGTGATGGGGAAGAGAGAGAAAGGTGGTGGGGAAGAGAGAGGGTGGTGTTGGTGGTAAAGGGAGAAAATGGTAGTGGGGAAAGAAGATATTGGTGGGGAAAGGACAGAATTGAGGTAGTGGGAAAGGGAAAGGATGGTGGTGTTGGAGAAGGGAGAGTGTAGTGTTGGGGAAGGGACGGGCTGTTAGTAGTGGGAAAAGGGGAGGATGGTGGTGGGGAAGGGAGAGGATGGTGGTAGTGGGAAAGGGAGAGGATGGTAGTGGGAAAGGGAGAGGATGGTAGTGGGGAAGGGAGAGGATGGTGTGGCTCAAGGAGATGTTGGTGGGGAAGGGAGAGGATGTGGTAGTGGGAAAGGGAGAGGATGTGGTAGTGGGAAAGGGAGAGGATGGTAGTGGGGAAGGGAGAGGATGGTGGTGGGCAAGGGAGAGGATGGTGGTAGTGGGAAAGGGAGAGGATGGTAGTGGGAAAGGGAGAGGATGGTGTGGTTAAAGGAGACGTTGGCGGGGAAGGGACCTGATGTTGGTAGTGGGAAAGGGAGAGGATGGTGGTAGTGGGAAAGGGAGAGGATGGTGGTAGTGGGAAAGGGAGAGGATGGTGGTAGTGGGAAAGGGAGAGGATGGTGGTGAGGACGGGAGAGGATGATGGTGGGGAAAGGAGATGTTGATGGGGAAGAGACAGGATGTTGGTCGTGTGGAAGGGAGAGGATTCTTGGTAGTGGGGAAGGGACATGTTTTAGTAGTGGGGAAGGGAGAGGATGTTGGTGGTGGGGAAGGGACATGTTTTGGTTGTTCGGAAGGGAAAGTATGTTGGGTTAAGAGACATGTTTTGGTTGTGGGGAAGTGACATGATGTTGGTAGTTGGGAATTGACATGTTTTGGTAGTGGGGAAGGAAGAGGATGTTGGTGGTGGGGAAAGGAGAGGATAGTGTAGGGAAAGGAGATGATGGTAGTGGGAAAGGGAGAGGATGTTGGTAGTGGGGAAGGGAGAGGATGGTAGTGGGGAAGGGAGAGGATGGTGGTGGGCAAGGGAGAAGATCGTGGTAGTGGGGAAGGGAGAGGAGGGGGCTGGGAAAGTGAGAGGATGGTGGTGGTGGTGGGGAAGGGAGAGGATGTGCTAGGGAAAGGAGATGTTGATGGGGAAGGGAAAGGATGTTGTAGTTGGGAAGGGAGAGGATGGTGGTGGGGAAGGGAGGGGTTGGTGGTGCTGGAGAAGGGAGAGGATGTTGGTAGTTGGGAAGGGAAAAGATGGTAGTGGGGAAGGGACAGTGTGGTAGTATTTGGGAAGGAAGAACATGGTTGTGGGGAAGTGACAGGATGTTGGTAGTGGGGAGGAAAGAGGATGGTGATGGGGAAGAGAGAGAAAGGTGGTGGGGAAGAGAGAGGGTGGTGTTGGTGGTAAAGGGAGAAAATGGTAGTGGGGAAAGAAGATATTGGTGGGGAAAGACAGAATTGAGGTAGTGGGAAAGGGAAAGGATGGTGGTGTTGGAGAAGGGAGAGTGTAGTGTTGGGGAAGGGACGGGCTGTTAGTAGTGGGAAAAGGGGAGGATGGCGGTGGGGAAGGGAGAGGATGGTGGTAGTGGGAAAGGGAGAGGATGGTAGTGGAAAGGGAGAGGATGGTAGTGGGGAAGGGAGAGGATGGTGTGGCTCAAGGAGATGTTGGTGGGGAAGGGAGAGGATGTGGTAGTGGGAAAGGGAGAGGATGTGGTAGTGGGAAAGGGAGAGGATGGTAGTGGGGAAGGGAGAGGATGGTGGTGGGCAAGGGAGAGGATGGTGGTAGTGGGAAAGGGAGAGGATGGTGTGGTTATAGGAGATGTTGGTAGTGGGAAAGGGAGAGGATGTGGTAGTGGGAAAGGAAGAGGATGGTAGTGGGGAAGTAAGAGGATGGTGGTGGGGAAGGGAGAGGATGGTGGTAGTGGGAAAGGGAGAGGATGGTAGTTGGGAAGGGAGAGGATGGTGGTGGGGAAGAGAGAGGATGGTGTAAGTGGTAAAGGGAGAAAATGGTAGTGGGGAAAGAAGATATTGGTGGGGAAAGGACAGAATTGAGGTAGTGGGAAAGGGAAAGGATGGTGGTGTTGGAGAAGGGAGAGTGTAGTGTTGGAGAAGGGACGGGCTGTTAGTAGTGAGAAAAGGGGAGGATGGTGGTAGTGGGGAAGGGAGAGGATGGTGGTGGGCAAGGGAGAGGATGGTGGTAGTGGGAAAGGGAGAGGATGGTAGTGGGGAAGTGAGAGGATGGTAGTGGGGAAGGGAGAGGATGGTGGTAGTGGGAAAGGGAGAGGATGGTAGTGGGGAAGTGAGAGGATGGTGGTGGGGAAGGGAGAGGATGGTGGTAGTGGGAAAGGGAGAGGATGGTAGTTGGGAAGGGAGAGGATGGTGGTGGGGAAAGGAGATGTTGGTGGGGAAGTGAGAGGATGGTGGTGGGGAAGGGAGAGGATGGTGGTAGTGGGAAAGGGAGAGGATGGTAGTTGGGAAGGGAGAGGATGGTGGTGGGGAAAGGAGATGTTGGTGGGGAAGGGAGAGGATGGTGGTGGTGGGAAAGGGAGAGGATGGTGGTTTGGAAGGGAGAGGATGGTGGTGGGGAAAGGAGATGTTGGTGTGGAAGAGACAGGATGTTGGTCGTGTGGAAGGGAGAGGAGGTTGGAAGAGGGGAAGGGACATGTTTATTAAGTAGTGGGGAAGGGAGAGGATGTTGGTGGTTGGGAAGGGTCATGATTTGGTTGTGGGGAAGTGACATGATATTGGTAGTGGGGAATTGACATGTTTTGGTAGTCAGGAAGTGAGAGGATGTTGGTGGTGGGAAGTGAGAGGATGTTGGTAGTGGGGAATTGACATGTTTTGGTAGTCAGGAAGGGAGAGGATGTTGGTGGTGGGGAAAGGGAGAGGATGTTGGTAGTGGGGAAGGGACATGATGTTGGTAGTGGGGAATTGACATGTTTTGGTAGTCAGGAAGTGAGAGGATGTTGGTGGTGGGAAGTGAGAGGATGTTGGTAGTGGGGAATTGACATGTTTTGGTAGTCAGGAAGGGAGAGGATGTTGGTGGTGGGGAAAGGGAGAGGATGTTGGTAGTGGGGAAGGGACATGATGTTGGTAGTGGGGAATTGACATGTTTTGGTAGTCAGGAAGTGAGAGGATGTTGGTGGTGGGAAGTGAGAGGATGTTGGTAGTGGGGAAGGGAGAGGATGGTGGTGGTGGGGAAGGGAGAGGATGGCGGTGGTGGGGAAGGGAGAGGATGGCGGTAGTGGGGAAGGGAGAGGATGGTGGTGGTGGGGAAGGGAGAGGATGGTGGTAGTGGGGAAGGGAGAGGATGGTGGTAGTGGGGAAGGGAGAGGATGGTGGTAGTGGGGAAGGGAGAGGATGGTGGTGGTGGGGAAGGGAGAGGATGGTGGTAGTGGGGAAGGGAGAGGATGATGGTGGTGGGGAAGGGAGAGGATGGCGGTGGTGGGGAAGGGAGAGGATGGCGGTGGTGGGGAAGGGAGAGGATGGCGGTGGTGGGGAAGGGAGAGGATGATGGTGGTGGGGAAGGGAGAGGATGGTGGTGGTGGGGAAGGGAGAGGATGATGGTGGTGGGGAAGGGACAGGATGATGGTAGTGGGGAAGGGACAGGATGATGGTAGTGGGGAAGGGAGAGGATGGCGGTGGTGGGGAAGGGAGAGGATGATGGTGGTGGGGAAGGGAGAGGATGGCGGTGGTGGGGAAGGGAGAGGGTGGTGTTGGAGAATGGAGAGGGTGGTGGTGGAGAAGGGAGAGGGTGGTGGTGGAGAAGGGAGAGGGTGGTGGTGGAGAAGGGAGAGGATGGTGGTGGAGAAGGGAGAGGATGGTGTTTGAGAAGGGAGAGGATGGTGGTGGAGGAGAAGGGAGAGGATGGTGGTGGAGAAGGGAGAGGGTGGTGGTGGAGAAGGGAGAGGGTGGTGGTGGAGAAGGGAGAGGATGGTGGTGGAGAAGGGAGAGGATGGTGTTTGAGAAGGGAGAGGATGGTGGTGGAGGAGAAGGGAGAGGATGGTGGTGGAGAAGGGAGAGGGTGGTGGTGGAGAAGGGAGAGGGTGGTGGTGGAGACAGGATGGTGGTGGAGAAGGGAGAGGATGGTGGTGGAGAAGGGAGAGGGTGGTGGAGGAGAAGGGAGAGGATGGTGGTGGAGAAGGGAGAGGGTGGTGGTGGAGAAGGGAGAGGGTGGTGGTGGAGAAGGGAGAGGATGGTGGTGGAGAAGGGAGAGGATGGTGGTGGAGAAGGGAGAGGGTGGTGGTGGAGAAGGGAGAGGATGGTGGTGGAGAAGGGAGAGGATGGTGGTGGAGAAGGGAGAGGGTGGTGGTGGAGAAGGGAGAGGGTGGTGGTGGAGAAGGGAGAGGATGGTGGTGGAGAAGGGAGAGGGTGGTGGTGGAGAAGGGAGAGGGTGGTGGTGGAGAAGGGAGAGGATGGTGGTGGGGAAGGGAGAGGATGGTGGTGGAGAAGGGAGAGGATGGTGTTTGAGAAGGGAAAGGATGGTGGTGGAGAAGGGAGAGGGTGATGTTGGAGAATGGAGAGGATGGTGGTGGAGAAGGGAGAGGATGGTGGTGGAGAAGGGAGAGGATGGTGGTGGAGAAGGGAGAGGATGGTGTTTGAAAAGGGAGAGGATGGTGGTGGAGAGAGGATGGTGGTGGAGAAGGGAGAGGATGGTGGTGGTGGAGAAGGGAGAGGGTGGTGGTGGAGAAGAGAGAGGATGGTGGTGGAGAAGGGAGAGGATGGTGGTGGAGAAGGGAGAGGATGGTGGTGGAGAAGAGAGAGGATGGTGGTGGAGAAGGGAGAGGATGGTGGTGGAGAAGGGAGAGGATGGTGGTGGAGAAGGGAGAGGATGGTGGTGGAGAAGGGAGAGGGTGGTGGTGGAGAAGGGAGAGGGTGGTGGTGGAGAAGGGAGAGGGTTGTTTGGGGGAAGGGAGGTGCCGGTACTGGGGAATGAGAGGGTGGTAGTGCGATAGGGGAAGGATGGTCGAGAGAAAGGAAGATGATGTTTGTTCTAAACAAGCACCTCGTTTTCCTTGTTTTTCTGGTGACCTAACGGCTAAAGGTGAAACTTCATTTGATGTGTAGCATTAAGGCTGAGATCTTACAGGCGCCCGAGAGATCCGTTTTATAATTAGGGGTGAAGCTGCCCGTGTCGTAATGAGGCTAGGTCACACTGCTTCACTTACTTCACTTCGTAATAAACTTAAAAGTGTATTCAGTCTCCTCCAACTACAACCGAGACCGGACTCTATCTCTCTGCATGGAGAGATTCTGCTGGCCCGGAATGGGTAAAGACGTGGATCAGTGGATAGAAACTGTTACAGATGCTTCAGTAGAGCACCGATGGAAGACAGAGCTCCTCTTCTCTGAGGATGCTGGTGGGGAAGGGGGGGATGCTGGTGGGGAAGTGGGAGGGATGCTGGTGGGGAAGGGGGGATGCTGGTGGGGAAGGGAGGGATGCTGGTGGGGAAGGGGGAGGATGATGGTGGGGAAGGGGGAGGATGATGGTGGGGAAGGGAGGGATGCTGGTTGGGAAGGGGGGATGCTGGTGGGGAAGGGGGAGGATGATGGTGGGGAAGGGGGAGGATGATGATGAGGAAGGGAGGGATGCTGGTTGGGAAGGGGGGATGCTGGTGAGGAAGGGGGAGGATGATGGTGGGGAAGGGAGGGATGCTGGTGGCGAAGGGGGAGGATGATGGTGGGGAAGGGGGGACGGTGTTGGAGAAGTGGGAGGATGGTGGTGGGAAGGGGGAGGATGATAGTGGGAAGGGGGAGGATGGTAGTGGGCAAGGGAGAGGATGGTGGTAGTGGGGAAGGGAGAGGATAGTGGTGGGGAAGGGAGAGGATGTGGTAGTGGGGAAGGAAGAGGGTGGTGGTGGGCAAGGGAGAGGATGGTGGTAGTGGGGAAGGGAGAGGATAGTGGTGGGGAAGGGAGAGGATGTGGTAGTTGGAAAGGGAGAGGATGGTAGTGGGGAAGGTAGAGGATGTGGTAGTGGGAAAGGGAGAGGATGGTAGTGGGGAAGGGAGAGGATGTGGTGGGCAAGAGAGAGGATGGTGGTAGTGGGGAAGGGAGAGGATAGTGGTGGGGAAGGGAGAGAATGTGGTAGTGGGAAAGGGAGAGGATGGTAGTGGGAAAGGGAGAGGATGTGGTAGTGGGAAAGGGAGAGGATGGTAGTGGGAAAGGGAGAGGATGTGGTAGTGGGAAAGGGAGAGGATGGTAGTGGGGAAGGGAGAGGATGGTGGTGGGCAAGGGAGAGGATGGTGGTAGTGGGAAAGGAAGAGGCTGGTAGTGGGGAAGGGAGAGGATGGTAGTGGGGAAGGGGGAGGATAGTGGTGGGGAAGGGAGAGGATGTGGTAGTGGGAAAGGGAGAGGGTGGTAGTGGGGAAGGGAGAGGATGGTAGTGGGGAAGGGAGAGGATGGTAGTGGGGAAGGGAGAGGATAGGGGTTGGGAAGGGAGAGGATGTGGTAGTGGGAAAGGGAGAGGATGGTAGTGGGGAAGGGAGAGGATGTGGTAGTGGGAAAGGGAGAGGATGGTAGTGGGGAAGGGAGAGGATGTGGTAGTGGGAAAGGGAGAGGATGGTAGTGGGGAAGGGAGAGGGTGGTGGTGGGGAAGGGAGAGGATGGTGGTAGTGGGAAAGGGAGAGGATGGTAGTGGGGAAGGGAAAGGATGGTGTGGTTAAAGGAGACGTTGGCGGGGAAGGGACCTGATGTTGGTAGTGGGAAAGGGAGAGGATGGTGGTAGTGGGAAAGGGAGAGGACGTTGGTAGTTGGGAAGGGAAAAGATGGTAGTGGGGAAGGGACAGTGTGGTAGTATTTGGGAAGGAAGAACATGGTTGTCGGGAAGTGACAGGATGTTGGTAGTGGGGAGGAAAGAGGATGGTGATGGGGAAGAGAGAGAAAGGTGGTGGGGAAGAGAGAGGGTGGTGTTGGTGGTAAAGGGAGAAAATGGTAGTGGGGAAAGAAGATATTGGTGGGGAAAGGACAGAATTGAGGTAGTGGGAAAGGGAAAGGATGGTGGTGTTGGAGAAGGGAGAGTGTAGTGTTGGGGAAGGGACGGGCTGTTAGTAGTGGGAAAAGGGGAGGATGGTGGTGGGGAAGGGAGAGGATGGTGGTAGTGGGAAAGGGAGAGGATGGTAGTGGGAAAGGGAGAGGATGGTAGTGGGGAAGGGAGAGGATGGTGTGGCTCAAGGAGATGTTGGTGGGGAAGGGAGAGGATGTGGTAGTGGGAAAGGGAGAGGATGTGGTAGTGGGAAAGGGAGAGGATGGTAGTGGGGAAGGGAGAGGATGGTGGTGGGCAAGGGAGAGGATGGTGGTAGTGGGAAAGGGAGAGGATGGTAGTGGGAAAGGGAGAGGATGGTGTGGTTAAAGGAGACGTTGGCGGGGAAGGGACCTGATGTTGGTAGTGGGAAAGGGAGAGGATGGTGGTAGTGGGAAAGGGAGAGGATGGTGGTAGTGGGAAAGGGAGAGGATGGTGGTAGTGGGAAAGGGAGAGGATGGTGGTGAGGACGGGAGAGGATGATGGTGGGGAAAGGAGATGTTGATGGGGAAGAGACAGGATGTTGGTCGTGTGGAAGGGAGAGGATTCTTGGTAGTGGGGAAGGGACATGTTTTAGTAGTGGGGAAGGGAGAGGATGTTGGTGGTGGGGAAGGGACATGTTTTGGTTGTTCGGAAGGGAAAGTATGTTGGGTTAAGAGACATGTTTTGGTTGTGGGGAAGTGACATGATGTTGGTAGTTGGGAATTGACATGTTTTGGTAGTGGGGAAGGAAGAGGATGTTGGTGGTGGGGAAAGGAGAGGATAGTGTAGGGAAAGGAGATGATGGTAGTGGGAAAGGGAGAGGATGTTGGTAGTGGGGAAGGGAGAGGATGGTAGTGGGGAAGGGAGAGGATGGTGGTGGGCAAGGGAGAAGATCGTGGTAGTGGGGAAGGGAGAGGAGGGGGCTGGGAAAGTGAGAGGATGGTGGTGGTGGTGGGGAAGGGAGAGGATGTGCTAGGGAAAGGAGATGTTGATGGGGAAGGGAAAGGATGTTGTAGTTGGGAAGGGAGAGGATGGTGGTGGGGAAGGGAGGGGTTGGTGGTGCTGGAGAAGGGAGAGGATGTTGGTAGTTGGGAAGGGAAAAGATGGTAGTGGGGAAGGGACAGTGTGGTAGTATTTGGGAAGGAAGAACATGGTTGTGGGGAAGTGACAGGATGTTGGTAGTGGGGAGGAAAGAGGATGGTGATGGGGAAGAGAGAGGGTGGTGTTGGTGGTAAAGGGAGAAAATGGTAGTGGGGAAAGAAGATATTGGTGGGGAAAGACAGAATTGAGGTAGTGGGAAAGGGAAAGGATGGTGGTGTTGGAGAAGGGAGAGTGTAGTGTTGGGGAAGGGACGGGCTGTTAGTAGTGGGAAAAGGGGAGGATGGCGGTGGGGAAGGGAGAGGATGGTGGTAGTGGGAAAGGGAGAGGATGGTAGTGGAAAGGGAGAGGATGGTAGTGGGGAAGGGAGAGGATGGTGTGGCTCAAGGAGATGTTGGTGGGGAAGGGAGAGGATGTGGTAGTGGGAAAGGGAGAGGATGTGGTAGTGGGAAAGGGAGAGGATGGTAGTGGGGAAGGGAGAGGATGGTGGTGGGCAAGGGAGAGGATGGTGGTAGTGGGAAAGGGAGAGGATGGTGTGGTTATAGGAGATGTTGGTAGTGGGAAAGGGAGAGGATGTGGTAGTGGGAAAGGAAGAGGATGGTAGTGGGGAAGTAAGAGGATGGTGGTGGGGAAGGGAGAGGATGGTGGTAGTGGGAAAGGGAGAGGATGGTAGTTGGGAAGGGAGAGGATGGTGGTGGGGAAGAGAGAGGATGGTGTAAGTGGTAAAGGGAGAAAATGGTAGTGGGGAAAGAAGATATTGGTGGGGAAAGGACAGAATTGAGGTAGTGGGAAAGGGAAAGGATGGTGGTGTTGGAGAAGGGAGAGTGTAGTGTTGGAGAAGGGACGGGCTGTTAGTAGTGAGAAAAGGGGAGGATGGTGGTAGTGGGGAAGGGAGAGGATGGTGGTGGGCAAGGGAGAGGATGGTGGTAGTGGGAAAGGGAGAGGATGGTAGTGGGGAAGTGAGAGGATGGTAGTGGGGAAGGGAGAGGATGGTGGTAGTGGGAAAGGGAGAGGATGGTAGTGGGGAAGTGAGAGGATGGTGGTGGGGAAGGGAGAGGATGGTGGTAGTGGGAAAGGGAGAGGATGGTAGTTGGGAAGGGAGAGGATGGTGGTGGGGAAAGGAGATGTTGGTGGGGAAGGGAGAGGATGGTGGTAGTGGGAAAGGGAGAGGATGGTGGTTTGGAAGGGAGAGGATGGTGGTGGGGAAAGGAGATGTTGGTGTGGAAGAGACAGGATGTTGGTCGTGTGGAAGGGAGAGGAGGTTGGAAGAGGGGAAGGGACATGTTTATTAAGTAGTGGGGAAGGGAGAGGATGTTGGTGGTTGGGAAGGGTCATGATTTGGTTGTGGGGAAGTGACATGATATTGGTAGTGGGGAATTGACATGTTTTGGTAGTCAGGAAGTGAGAGGATGTTGGTGGTGGGAAGTGAGAGGATGTTGGTAGTGGGGAATTGACATGTTTTGGTAGTCAGGAAGGGAGAGGATGTTGGTGGTGGGGAAAGGGAGAGGATGTTGGTAGTGGGGAAGGGACATGATGTTGGTAGTGGGGAATTGACATGTTTTGGTAGTCAGGAAGTGAGAGGATGTTGGTGGTGGGAAGTGAGAGGATGTTGGTAGTGGGGAATTGACATGTTTTGGTAGTCAGGAAGGGAGAGGATGTTGGTGGTGGGGAAAGGGAGAGGATGTTGGTAGTGGGGAAGGGACATGATGTTGGTAGTGGGGAATTGACATGTTTTGGTAGTCAGGAAGTGAGAGGATGTTGGTGGTGGGAAGTGAGAGGATGTTGGTAGTGGGGAAGGGAGAGGATGGTGGTGGTGGGGAAGGGAGAGGATGGCGGTGGTGGGGAAGGGAGAGGATGGCGGTAGTGGGGAAGGGAGAGGATGGTGGTGGTGGGGAAGGGAGAGGATGGTGGTAGTGGGGAAGGGAGAGGATGGTGGTAGTGGGGAAGGGAGAGGATGGTGGTAGTGGGGAAGGGAGAGGATGGTGGTGGTGGGGAAGGGAGAGGATGGTGGTAGTGGGGAAGGGAGAGGATGATGGTGGTGGGGAAGGGAGAGGATGGCGGTGGTGGGGAAGGGAGAGGATGGCGGTGGTGGGGAAGGGAGAGGATGGCGGTGGTGGGGAAGGGAGAGGATGATGGTGGTGGGGAAGGGAGAGGATGGCGGTGGTGGGGAAGGGAGAGGATGATGGTGGTGGGGAAGGGACAGGATGATGGTAGTGGGGAAGGGACAGGATGATGGTAGTGGGGAAGGGAGAGGATGGCGGTGGTGGGGAAGGGAGAGGATGATGGTGGTGGGGAAGGGAGAGGATGGCGGTGGTGGGGAAGGGAGAGGATGATGGTGGTGGGGAAGGGAGAGGATGGTGGTGGTGGGGAAGGGAGAGGATGGCGGTGGTGGGGAAGGGAGAGGATGGTGGTAGTGGGGAAGGGAGAGGATGGTGGTGGTGGGGAAGGGAGAGGATGGTGGTAGTGGGGAAGG